AAAAAAAAAAAAAAAAAAAAAAAAAAGGAATAAGTAAATAAAAATGGTTAAAATGGTAAATTTTATATCTGTTTTTTGTTTGTTTGTTTTTGAGAGTCTTGCTGTCCCCAAGGCTGGAGTGGAGTGGTCTGACCTCACTCGCCTCACTGTAGCTTCTGCCTCTGCCTCCCGGGTTCAAGCGATTCTCATGCCTCAGCCACCTGAGTAGCTGGGACTACAGGCATGTGCACCACACCTAGTTAAGTTTTGTATTTTTAGTAGAGATGGTTTTTTTACCATATTGGCCAGCCTGGTCCCAAACTCCCAACCTCTGGTGATCCGCCTGCCTTGACCTCCCAAAGTGCTGGGATTACAGGCGTGAGCCACGTGCCCGGCCACTACTAGGAGCTTTTGATGCCCTAAGGTTTGGGAACTGAAGATGCCCCCCTGACTCTTCCTAATGCTCTTTTTCCTTAGCTATGAGGTGCCCACCTGGCAGCAGCTACAGCACCTGTGCCAGCCCTTGCCCAGCCACCTGCAACAGCATAAACACCCCGAGGGACTGCCCCAAAGCACTGCCCTGTGCTGAGGGCTGCGAATGTCAGAAAGGCCACATCTTGAGCAGAACCTCATGCGTGCCCCTTGGCCAGTGTGGCTGCACCGACCCAGCGGGCTCCTACCACCCGGTGAGAGGCCAGCTAGCAGGGGCCCTGCCCTTTCCAGGTCCACACGTTTAGGGTCAGGACAAGCTCAGGAGAGGCAGGAAGAAGGCTCGGAACCTGGGAGGGGCAGGGCTGGCCAATGCTTGGGGGCAAGGAGGAAGGCCAGATGCTGCAGCCAGTTTTGACCGGGGCATCAGCCCATCTTCTGATTCTAAGTTTCTGTTGGCTCTGCCAATCCCTGTGGCCCACAGGTCGGGGAGCGCTGGTACACAGAGAACACCTGCGCCAGGCTCTGCACCTGCTCCATCCACAACAACATCACCTGCATCCAAAGCAGCTGCAAACCCAACCAGATATGCTGGGCCCTGGATGGGCTGCTCCGTTGTCGGGCCTCAGGTAAGAGGACCACGGTGACGGGGGGACCCCACGGCCCTGAGGCCAGCTCTCCCAACTCCCCAACAGACTCCCTGCTGCCTGTGGCACTCAGATTCAGGTTTTGGCTCATAACTGCTATAATGAAGAGCTTCGGGTGGGAAAAGTGACCTCCAACTGCTGAGAAGGGGGCCTCAGGGCTCACCCAACCTTCCCCTGTAGCAGCCACCAACTTAGATGGGGTATTATAAATCCTTTCTGGGGCCGGACGTGGTGGTTCACACTTGTAATCTCAGCACTTTGGAAGGACAAACCAGGTGGATCAAGTGAGACTGGGAGTTTGAGACCAGCCTAGCCAACATGGCCAACATGGCTAAACCCCATCTCTACTAAAAATACAAAAATTAGCCAAGCACTGTGGTGGGTGCCTGTAATCCCAGCTACTCGAGAGGCTGAGGCAGGAGAATCCTTGAAACCAGGAGGTGGAGGTTGTAGTGAGTGGAGATCGCACCATTGAACTCCAGCCTGGGCGACAAAACTCCATCTCTAAATAAATAAATAAATCCTTCCCTGGAGGCTGGGCATGGTGCTCACGCCTTTAATCCCAGTGCTTTGGGAAGCTGAGGTGGGATCACTTGAGGCCAAGGGTTCAAGAGCAACCTGGGCAGCACAGCAAGACCCCATCTCTACAAAAAATAAAAACTAAAAAATTAAAAATAGAAATTAAAGACATCACACCTGTAGTCTCAGCTCCTTGGGAAGCTGAGGTAGGAGGATCTCTTGAGCTCAGGAATTAGAGTCTGCAGTGCACTATGATCTTGCCACTGCACTCCAGCCTGGGTAACAGAAGAAGACCCTGTCTCTTAAAAAAAAGTTTTGTAAAAAATTAGTTGAATAGGGTACTTCATGCCTGTAGTCCCAGCTACTCTGGAGGGTGAGGTAGGAAGATTGCTTGAGCCCAGGAGTTTGAGGCTACAGTGAGCTATGATCATGCCACTGCATTCCACCCCGGCTGACAGAGAGAGACAGTGTCTCAAAAAAGAAAATAATAATCCTTCCTCCGAAGAATCATGCTCCCCTCCACCCATAAACCTCATGCCTCAGCCCTGGCCCCAGGGTCTTTTTTTTTTTTTTTTTGACAGAGTCTCTGGTGCTCAGGCTGGATGCAATGGCACAATCTCGGCTCACTGCAACCTCCATCTCCCTGGTTCAAGTGATTTTCCTGCCTCAGCCTCCCAAGTAGCTGGGATTACAGGTGCACTTCACCACACCCTAATTTTTCTGCATTTTTAAAGTAGAGATGGGGTTTCACCACGTTGGTCAGGCTGGTCTCAGACCAGCCCTCCTGGGCCTCCCAAAGTGCTGGGATTACAGGCGTGAGCCACTGGGCATGGCCAGACCTGGGGTCTTGACACTTTTCTGGAAGGCAGGGGAACCCAGGACTAGTTTCCCAGGGACCCTGTACCTGCCAGAGGGAGGGCCATAGCCCGGCTGTCTCTCTGTCCTCCCAGGTATGGGAGTGTGTCAGCTCCCAGGGGAGTCCCACTATGTGAGCTTTGATGGCAGTAACCATTCCATCCCCGACGCCTGCACTCACATCCTGGTGAAAGTCTGCCACCCCGCCATGGACTTGCCCTTCTTCAAGATCAGTGCAAAGCATGAGAAGGAGGAAGGTGGGACTGAGTCTTTTCGTCTTCATGAGGTCTACATTGACATCTACGATGCCCGGGTCACCCTGAAGAAGGGCCGCCATGTGCTGGTGAGCAGGGTGTGGTGACCGGGGTTGGGAGGGAGTGCTGGGGAGGGGACTCCAGTCCCTCCTCCTACTCACTGTCACTGCCCTTCTGTTTAGATCAACAGCAAACAGGTCACCCTCCCCGCAATCTCCCAGATCCCCGGGGTCAGCGTCAAGTCCAGCAGCATCTACACAATTGTTAACTTCAAGACTGGCGTGCAGGTCAAGTTTGATGGGAATCGTCTCTTAGAGATTGAAATTCCCACTACCTACTATGGAAAGGTGAGGAAAACATCTGGCTGTGTTCACAGGGTAGGCAGCACCAGGAAGACCGGCGGGTGGCAAGGGTGGGAGGCAGTGTTCACATCCGGCCTGCCGCTCCTCAGGATGGAGCAGGGCAGCAGAGGAGTGTGCCTTTCTGTGTAGGATGGACGAGGATGTTCCCAGGAAAAACCACTCTCAGCTGGGCGCGGTGGCTCATGCCTGTAATCTCAGCACTTTGGAAGGCTGAGGCAGGTGGATCATCTGAGGTCAGGAGTTCAAGACCAGCCTGGCCAACATGGTGAAATGCTGTCTCTACCAAAAATAATAATTTTAAAAAATTAGTCAGGCATGGTGGTGCACGCTTGCAATCCCAGCTACTCGGGAGGCTGAGGCAGGAGAATTGCTTGAACCCCAGAGGTGGACGTTCAAGTAAGCCAAGATTGTGCCACTGCACTCCAGCCTGTTCGACATACGAAAAAAAAAAAAAAAAAAAAACAAAAAAAAAAAAAAAAAAAAAAGAAAGGAAAAGAAAGAAAGAAAAACAGCTCCGTGCTTCCCCAGCACTGAAAAACCACTCTTCCCACCCAGGTCTGTGGCGTGTGTGGGAACTTCAACGATGAGGAAGAGGATGAGCTAATGATGCCCAGCGATGAGCTAGCCCAGAGTGACAGCGAATTCGTGAACAGCTGGAAAGATAAGGACATTGACCCAAGGTAGTGGTCCCCTAAGACCCTCTAGCTTTTCTCTTTTCCATCCCTTCCCTTCCCTTCCCTTCCCCCTTCCCCCTTCCCCCTTCTCCTTTACCCTTCCTTCTTTCATCGAGATGGTTTCACTCTGTCACCCAGGCTGGAGTGCAGTGGCATGATCTTGGCTCACCGAAACCTCTACCTCCTGGGTTCAAGCAATTCTCCTGTCTCAGCCTCCTGAGTAGCTGGGATTGCAGGCACCTGCCACCATGCCCGGCTAATTTTTGTATTTCATAGTAGAGATGGGGTTTCACAATGTTGGCCAGGCTGGTCTCAAACTCCTGACCTAAGGCAATGTGCCCGCCTCGGCCTCCCGAAGTGCTGGGATTATAGACATGAGCCAACCCTTCTAGTTTTCGTTTTCATTTTTTTCATTTTTTTTTTTTTTTTGAGATGGAGTCTTGCTCTATAAGCCAGGCTGGAGTGCAGTGCCACAGTCTTGGCTCACTGCAACCTCTACTTCCTGGGTTCAAGCAATTCTTGTGCCTCTACCTCCCGAGTATCCGGATTACAGGTGCATGCCACTATGCCCCATGCTCGGCTCAGCTAATTTTTGTATTTTAGGTAGAGAAGGGGTTTCACCATGTCCAGGCTGGTCTCAAACTCCTGAGCTCAAGTGATCTGCCCACCTCAGCCTCCCAAAGTGCTAGGATTATAGGCTAGAGCCACCTCGCCTGGTCACCCCTCTAGCCTTTCATAGCAACATGACATGGGGAGCTAGACTGTAGGGTACACCTGGGGCAGGAAGACCAGAATGTTTATTTTTAATTCGTCTTCAATTGTTTTTGTTTGTGTGTTTTGAGACAGTCTTGCTCTGCCACCCAGGCTACAGTGCAGTGGCATGATCTCAGCTCACTGCAACCTCTGCCTCTTAGGTTCAAGTGATTCTCCTGCCTCAGCCTCCCGAGTAGCTGGGATTACAGGCACGAGCCACCATGTCTGGCTAATTTTTTTATTTTTAGTAGAGATGGCGTTTCACCATATTAGCCAGGCTGGTCTCAAATTCCTTGACCTCAAGTGATCCACCCACAATGGCCTCCCAAAGTGCTGGGATTCCAGGCCAGAATGTTGCTTTGTGTGTCTGATTTGAGGGTGATGGCTTCTGGACATTTTGGGGTGATGTGTGTAATTGATCCATCTCAAGGCTGCTAGAACCCAGTTAGAGAAATATGAAAGTCTTCCTTTCCTTACTTAGAAACCTTGGAGGAGGGGCAGGAGCAGTGACTCATGCTTGTAATTCCAGCACTTTGGGAGGCCAAGACTGGAGGACCACTTGAGGCCAGGAGTTTGAGACTAGCCTAGGCAACATAGCAAGACCCCCATCTCTACAAAAAAAAATTAAAAACAAAAATTAGCCAGGCAAGGTGGCACATCCCTGTAGTCTCAGCTATTCAGGAGGCTTTAGGAGGAAGATTGCTTGAGTCCAAGATTTGAAGGCTGCAGTGAGCTATGATTGCATCACTGCATTCCAGCCTGGATGACAGAGCAAGACTCTGTCTTAAAAAGTTTAAAAACAGGCCAGGTGCCGTGGCTCACGCCTGTAATCCCAGCACTTTGGGAGGCCGAGGCAGGCAGATCACAAGGTCAGGAGTTTGAGACCAGCCTGACCAACAAGGTGAAACCCATCTCTACTAAAAATCCAAAAATTAGCCTGGTATGGTGGCAGGTGCCTGTAATCCCAGCTACTCAGGAGGCTGAGGCAGGAGACTTGTTTGAACCCAGGAGGCAGAGGTTTCAGTAAGCTGAGATCTCACCATTGCACTCCAGCCTGGGCAACAGAGCGACATTCTGCCTCAAAAAAAAAAAAGTTTAAAAATGGCTGGGTGCAGAGGTTCACACCTGTACTCCTGACACTTTATGAGGCCGATGTGGGATGATTGCTTGAGCCTAAGAGTTTGAGACCAGCCTGGGCAACATAGCAAGACCCCATCTCTACAGAAAAAAAGAAAAGAAAGATAACCAGGTGTGGTTAGTCCTAGCTACTCACAAGTCTGATGCAGGAGGATCCCCTGGGCCTGGGAGATTGAAACTGTAATGAGCCTTGATCATGCCACTGCACTCCAGCCTGGGCAACAGAGCAGGAAGGAAAAAAGGAAAGGGAACCTGGAAGGAGACAAGGCCAATGGAAGGTTGGCCAAAGCTCAGACCAGCTTCCCTGTGAACACCAGAGGGATTAGGAGGGTGAGAAGTCCCTGAGAGCTCTCTCTGGGTCATTTGGGAGCACCGGATCATTGTCATAGGGCCAGGCGTGGCAGCTCAGGCCTGTAATATCAGCACTTTGGGAGGCTGAGGCGGGTAGATCACTTGAGGTCAGGAGTTCAAGACCAGCCTGGCCAACATGGTGAAACCCCATCTCTATTAAAAATACAAAAATTAGCCTGGCTTGGTGGTGGGCACCTGTAATCCCAGCTACTCGGGAGGCTAAGGCATGAGAATCACATTAACCTGAGACGTAGAGGTTGCAGTGAGCCAAGATTGCACCACTGTACTCCAGCCTGGGCCACTGAGTGAGCTTCTGTCTCCAAGAAAAACCAAAAACAAAAACATTGGCCAGGCATGGTGGTGGGCGCCTGTAGTCCCAGCTACTCAGAAGGCTGAGGCAGAATAGCTTGAACCTGGGAGGGGAGGTGGAGGTTGCAGTGAGCCGAGATCACGCCATTGCACTCCAGTTAATCTGGGCGACAGAGCAAGTCTCCCTCTCAAAAAAAAAAAAAAAAAAATTTGTGTCGTAGCAGGGGGACAGCTGTCCCTAGGTTGATTCCTTTCTTTTTCCTTCCCAGCTGTCAGAAACTCCTGGTGGATGAGCAGCAGATCCTAGGGGAACAGCAGGAGAACCGGAGTGGAAACTGCAGGGCGAACGACCTCCGCAGGGCTCGGGAAAAGTGTGAGGCAGTGCTGCGGGCTCCCACGTGGGCGCAGTGCGCCTCCCGCATAGACCTCACGGCCTTCCTGGTGGGCTGTACGAACACCCTCTGTGTGTTCGGAGGTCTCCACCACGCCCTCTGCGACGCTCTGCAAGCCTTCGGGACCGTCTGCCAGAGCCAGGGGCTTAAGCCCCCACTCTGGAGAAACAGCAGCTTCTGCCGTGAGTGTGCCACGCTGTCACTCCCAAACCACTCCCAAACCCCATTTCCCTCTCTGCTTCCCTGAGAACTCCCTCACCCTCCTTCCCATTTCCTCCTGATTCAGCCCTCATTGACTCTTTGATGAGGACTATTTTTTAATTTATTATTTACTGATTGATGTACATTTTTTTGCCGGACATGGTGGCTCACATTGGTAATCCCAGCACTTTGGGAGGCTGAGGCAAGTAGATCACAAGATCAGGAGATTAAGACCATCCTGGCTATCATGGTGAAACCCTGTTTGTACCAAAAGTGCAAAAAAAACTTAGCTGGGTATGGTGGAGAGCGTCTGTAGTCCCAGCTACTCGGGAGGCTGAGGCTGAGAATCGCTTGAACCCGGGAGGCTGAGGTTGCAGTGACCTGAGATCACGCCACTGCACTCCAGCCTGGCAACAGAGGGAGACTCTGTCTCAAAAAA